CTTTCTCTGCTTCTTTTTTTTTTCACTTTAAAAAATGTGTGTGTGTGTGGCCACTGGTGTTTTTCTTTGTGTGCTCACACCTGACCACCATTCTGTATGTAACACACACACACAAACCAAAACAAAGCAAACAAGGGAAATGCAGGTGGGCGGAAGCTTGCATGAAAGGTCCACGATCTCTTTTTCAGATCACTCTCCTAAGTCCCCCTAGCTTTTTAATATACCTTCCAGATATGTGCTATGCAAATGTATCTGAAACCAAATCCGCATTCTTTGTTTTCGTAGCCCTTAGAGAGCTCTAATGAGCCCCAAAGAGATGACTCAACCTCCTCCACAGCTTGATTCCTGAACTGATTCTATGAGTGATAATCTGACCATTTCTCTTTCAATGACTCTTTCGGCTATTTCCGTTCAGAATATTTCCTGCCTGTTTTTGGCTCAGATGTCCGCACTTGTTTCTGGACCCTGGTGCTTCATCCATAAGATCAGACCCCTGCCTACAGTCACGCAGAGGCACCAGATGGTCAGCCCCACTGGCAGCAGTGATGATAGTCCTGGAGAGCACCTACCGTATGCCAGGTGCTGTTCTGGCTCCCGGTTCTGGACAGTAATCCTAGCAGGTGGTCCCTGTGTTAGCTCTGCTTCTCAGATGGGAACCTCAAGGCAGAGAGGTGAAGGCATTTGCTCAAGATCATACAACTAGCAAGAGGTAGAGCTGGGATTTGAAGTTAAGTGGTTTGGACCTTGTGCTATTGTTGTTCCTCAACCAGAGGCACACTGGTGCACCCATGGGAGCCCCCCATCCCCTTTCCTGATCCCTGAACACGCATCACACTGGAAACACACAATTCCAGAGTAGCTGGATAAGCACCCCAACTCCACAAAGCCTAATTATGCCATCATGCCTTGTCGTGTTTACACAATATCACAGGTGCAGTCCTGTGTCAGGTCCGTGTTTCCCTGGCCTATCCAGGGCTGAGGAGACTCGGACCCAGCTTTTCCAGAGACCTGACTAACTTGGAGAACACAGTTCCCCTCTCTGCATCAATTTCCTCCTTCAACACATGTGGATACCCCCTCGGCTGGAGACCAACCTCACTCAACCCTTCCCTTCTGTTTTTTCTTCTTTTCTTGGTTCACAGCCCTCCATGGGGTCCCGTGCCCTCTCACTGTGCACTTACCCGGCAATCACTAAGGGTCTCTTTCAGGCTTTGTCTTTCCCCTGGGGGACATGGAAGATCCACGCCAGTGGAAGGTTGACCCTGGGGGAGTCCACATACGGGATGGGGTGCAGTCGGGAACCCAGAGAGAAGGAGGTGAGTTTGCTAGGAAAAATCAAGGCATACTTCTTGGAGGAGGTGCCTGTTCACTGGGCCTCCGAGGGGGAAGAAGGGTGCCCCCCCCAACTGCTTCCTGCCCAATCCCTCCTTTGAGCCCTATGATGGCGACAGTGAGAATTCAGGCCTTTCCCCTAGAGGTGAGGAAAACCAGGGCCCACGCTCACCTCAGGGAGACAGCTGAGCACAGAGGTGAAACTACTAAACTGTGGGGTGCTAGGCAGCTGATGTTGAGAGCTCCATAGTGGGCGGGGCTGCCTATCTCAGATGTCCCGACCACAACAATACGTCATGGCGCTCCCTGGCTGCGGCCTGAGCCTTCCCCTGCCAGGCATTGTTTCCCCGCTCTGGAGGGGGTGTATAGAACTCTGCTAAGCCCCTCAGCATCCAGAGAGTTCAGAACAGTCACTGTCAGTCCTTGGATCGATGACTTCAACTTTTGGAGTCTTAGTGTTTTTACATCAGCTTATTGGAATTGTAGAAAAGCGTCAGTGACCCAGCTCATCGGGAATGAGCATTTGCCATGTGCCTGGCACTGCTCACAGCAAGCTCTCAGCTACTCTTTGAGACCTACTCTTATTCCCATTTAGTAGATGTGAAAAGTGAGGCTCAGAGAGGTGAAGCAGCTTGCCCAAAATCACACAGCAAGAAATTTGAGGGCTAACATTCAAGACTCTAGACAAGGGCAGCGAATTTTCCTCTGAAAGGGACCAGAGAGAGTAAATATTTGGGGCTTTGTGGGCCACACAATCTCTGTTGTAACTACTCCACTCTGCCATAATATTGCAAAAATCGCCACAGATAATATGGAAACAAATGAGGGTGGCTGTGTGTCAATACAGTTTTATTTGTGGACACTGAAATTTGAATTTCACATGATTTGCACATCAGGAAAGAGTCTTCTTTTGACTTTTCCCAGCTGCTTCAAAACGAAAATAATCAAAATATTCGGTGTTGGGCTGCAGTTTGTCCACCTCTAGAGCGCATGTGGGTAACTGTTATGCTATACTGCATTCATTTATTCATTAAATCAATCAGTCAATACGATCGAGGCCTGCAATTTTCTAGGTTGGAAACAAGGCAGGTGGAGATGCTCCTCTTTGGGAGATAACAGTTTCATGGGGGAAACAGCCATGAGTGAGCAAACAAATGAACAAGAATATCTCTCGTGGTGGAAACTGCTAGTAAGGTCATGTCACGGGGTGATGTAACCGGGGCCCGAGAGAGAGAGACACTTTCATTTGGGTTGTCCGAGATGTTGACTGGGAGTCCTCTGAATTCCTTTTTGTCAGCTCAGACAACCCTTGTCTGTGACTTTGCTGTGGGGGAGGGCTTAATAATAAACAGATTGGCCTGTGGCCTGTGAGCTTCTTGACAGAGCAATGGTGTCTGGGGAGGGCTTTTTGGCCTCAGTATCTTTTTTTTTTTTTTTTTTTTTTTTTTGG